GCACCTCCGACGATGATACCTTTGGTTCCAGCTAGATTGATGGCGTCGAATACAACTTTTGTGATGGGAAAGAGGCGAGAAGGGAGGGGCATGGTGAACTGGAATGATAGATCCGAGCTCCTTTGTGAGCTTTGAGAAAATTTTATGGCAAGCTTCCACTCACAAGAAGGCTTGACTGCGTTGATTGAATTTCTGGGGTTTGCAACTGCTCGTCTGCAGCGGAATAATGAGTAAAGGGTAGAGTACGAAATATAATGAAGACGCCAAAGAGAATCTGCGTGAGCAAAAGAATGGATTCGGAGAAGGAGGTTGAAGTCTCGGAGGGGGACGGAGTGGGCGGAGGCCCGGAGGGAAGGGGAAAAAATGGGGGCTCAATTTATTCTTGATGTGCCTTGTTGCGTACGACTTGTGTTGGAACGTTTGCGCTACCCCGTAGTTTTTCCTTCATTGTTCCACAACTTATATGTGATCATTCTTATTTCAAATTACACAAAGGAGAACCGGCTACTTATTTGGCCATGGAGCACATGAGATGCTCTTTAGTAACAGTAAGGGATGTAGAAAAGACAGCGAAATACCTTCACGTTGTATATGGTATGGGCTCCCGGACCTGTAAGGAGCCGTCGTCGAAACCTTCAACCTTGGAGGGCGAGGGCAAGCACGACTTACCGCAAACTTACCGTGTTGGGACAGAAGCGGTTGCGACATCAAGACACAAATAAATACCAATAATGAACCCACATGTATAAAAAGCGGTGCTGCATTTCTAATCTGCAAGACGCATCACTACCAAATGCTAGAACTCTACGACTCCAGCCCATGGTCCCAAGAGGTGCAGGAAAATCGTTTAAAGTATGCCCGGGCGCTCTCTAACGCAAATATCGAATGTCTGATCTGGGGAGAAGATGCGCTGGCGTTCGCCCACTTCGTTCCCACCTGCTTTGACGCCCTCCAACTACTCGTTGCAGATCAAGATCTCCACGCCGCTTCGACACAAATCAAGAAATCACTTGAATGTCGCCTTTTCTCTGGCTTCAACCCACACCATGTAGAAAAGATCGTGTTCAACCCAAGCCAGCCGAAAGCCTTTCCCCACTCTGTGTGCCTCGAGACGACGATTGCCGCATGTAACCGCACACCCGACGACCCAGATTTCATCTTCATCCACCCTCAGTCACAATTCTATTTCAACATCCAGGATAAAAGTCGCTCGTTGTCTCTCGCGCCTTTCCCCGACAACATTCGATTCCCCACACTAACCGCGTTTCTTGACTCGATGATCGCGACATACCTCGATCCCCCCTCTGGCCGAAATCACAGCAGAGTTCAGGACCCATTGAAAGTGTGGATATCCTACCTCCTCACTTATACTTTACCTTTACGCAAGAGACCCTCGGTGCTCCCGAATGGCGATCTTCAGCCGGAGCATGAGGAGGTGTTGCGCAGCCTCAAGCCAGAGAATCGGCCGTTCTTTGACTCATTTGTGCGATCAAATATCATTCCCGTGCGGGAGCACCAAATACGCCGAAAAGAAATTTTGGAGAAGCTTGGGTGTGTCTTCTCGCATTATCTGGGTCTTGATTATCTCATGAATATCAATAGACGGCACGAAGAAGCACGACGTCCATTTCCGACACGTAACCCCGGCAATCCCGACTTAATGTGGCTATAAATTCACTTTTGTAATCTTTATGGCGTTGACGCTGGTATTATTAGGGCGCGAAAGAGGGCCAAACTTGCTAATGTGTCTGGAAATCAAAAGTAGTTCGATAACTCTCTTACCCCCCAGGTCATTCATACAGTTGTTTCGCAGACGCTCATACTCAACATTCAGAGGGTTGCAATCTACCATTATGAGATTCAGTCGGCTCCTGCTGTAACCACTATCAACAATCTTAGTCAGGTCGGTTTCCCCAATAATTATTGCTGTAGCATGTATACCTAGGGACTGGGCATCATTTTACCCAAGACTTGTTTCTCAACATTTTTGAAAAGAGAGACGAGGCCATGCAGAAAGAATATGAAGCCGAGGAAATGTCTCAGGCATGGAATAGAATGAACGGAAAGGCAAGACGGTTCCTTTTGGACGGATAGCAAGGAAAAAGGGCAGAAAGAAGTATTTTTGCAAGTGGAGACTCAACGAAAGGGCGAGTACGCCGCGAAAAAAAGAACAGAGGTTCAGTATCAATTCAGGCAATTCGAAAATGTGTATGAAGTTGGAATTGGTGCCCTTGAGGTGATGGGCATAAGCGACGGGCATGCGGAGTGCGAAGAGGCAGGTGGGGATGAAGTGGATAAACAATTTCTACACTTATCGCAAGCATTAGAAAAAGCGGTCCTTTTTTTGCACTTACTTTATCATATCACTGCAGGTAGGATAAAGTGGCGTTATGTCGTAGTGGAAATTTGGGATGAGTCTTTGCCCGCAAGCCGAACTTTGGGAGGGCCATCCACTCAAGTAAGACATTCAGGAACAGCCAATACAACCTCGTCAGAGAATTCTGCTACATGATCTCCAAACCATGCCCGTTCGTCGTCTGTGATAGCCGGCCCTTCACCCGCCACTTTTAGAGTCTGCATAGGACCAGCCCAAAGAAGCCTGCTTCATACCAGTTCCTGTAAAGCCAAGACAGAAAAATTTGTGCAATCAAAGATGGCCAGTTCCTAAATGCTCATGCCTACGCCCGGCATGCCCAGTCGCTTCAGCACATCGCCATCAAAGGTTGGACAGCCGACGATTTCGAGTCCCATTCCATGCCATCTGTCGAAAATCTCCATGAGGTTCACGGTGGGGGCGAGATCCTGTAACACCAAACAAGAGATGCTTGGGAGGAAATATTCGGGCATCGCGTCCAGGGGACACCTAGCGAGCTTGAGGGTCGTAAGGTCTTGATGATCACACCTGAAGAGGATGGCGATTTCCGGGCGGTAGTATGTTGTTGAAAATGATCGATTTGAGGATTAGCTGGCGCAATGAGGTGAGCTGCGCGACCTCTCCTAGAAATGTATCCAGATTTAACCGGCCCTTCTCAGGCCTATTGATCCCTTCTTCTCCCTCAGGTCCACTAACCCTTTCCCCATCAATGCCGCCTTCACCGCCGTTCCCCTCTTCTTCTTCTGCAGGAGATAGGACGGAAACATTGAAGTACTCCAACTGAGGAACGAACTGCGTTACCCATTCCCCCGTAAGTGTTTCGAAGCCATAAGACGTTGGCACCATCGATATCGAAGTTGTGTAGTGCTGGGCAGACGAAGACGTCTCTACCATACATATCTAAATCGTTGTCAGCACCGTCTCCCTCGCATTCCAACCTGAGTATCTTCAAAATCGGGGCAGTGCCACGCAGTTCCTTCAGGATCACCGGCAAGGAGGAACTGCGAATCGTAGAAATGTAGAACATATGCCAGCGAGATATGTGGGGCAGGAGTAGCTCCATTGCGCTTCGCACCCGAGCTGCTTCCTCCATGTGGTACATGAAGTCGTTGCCCAGGTTCTCCCTAAGGTAATCTCCATCGGAAGATCGCGCGACCACTGCAGCTGGTGCTGAAGATCGACGAGTGAAGACCCCTCGGGTCCTGAGTCAAGGGAAAAGACAACCCGGGTCCAAAACGCAGGTACGCTGGCAGCGATTACGCGCCATTTGGCGCACACAGCAGCGATGTTATAAGGGAAGAGACAGGGATATCTGAGTTCTTCGTCGCGCCTCCAAATGCACTTGTATTCCCCAACGATTTCTGGGACCAGAGAGTTGCTCAAAAAGTAGAACTCCCTTTCATCCGTGACTTCCTCGCGGTTTTGCATGTACACAATTTTGAAGATCGTTAAGAGGATTTCTGTACTAGGAAACATGTCTGCAGCTCTTTCAAGTTGGCTGGACTAGCAACCCTTTGAAAGCCACTTAAGTTAGATAAAACGTCGCGTAGTGTGTACATGAAAACGCACGACTGGGAAGGAGCAGCTAGGGTGAGGTCAATGAGGCCTGAGGGTAAAGTTTGTAAGTAGCCGGGGTGGAAGACTAGTACACGTGACTCAACCTATCGAGTGGGCAGGCTTTGACTTGTTTCTCGACGACGACGACGACTTCCACTCCTAACAACGACGGCGACGCTGCCTTCAACAACCGAAGCGATACGTATGGTGCGTTACTCTACATTTCCCTGAGCTCCCGAGATTTAATGCCAGCGGCAACCTACAGAGCACCCGTAATGCCAACAGTTACATAGCACTCGACACCGCAACCTCATCAACTTCCTCGACGTTCGAGTCTTCTCCTTCGGGGCTGGTCTCAACTGATCATGACTTAGAACATGCACCTCTGCTACTGCCCA